GAACCGCAATGCGCAACACTATGTGCCCATCTCCACACATACTTAGCCTTCTATGCACCACCAACTTCGTCGACGGATAACGAAGCGGTGGGGGGGGACCTCCTCGCGTATGTTACCAAGGTGGCCTGCAAGTTTCGCATGCAACGGTATGACGACAACAACGCACCGCTCCTTTATGTTCGCATGCAAGTTGGGCAAACGTCCTGCAACGATTTGCTGGATAGCGGTGCGACTCGCAAATTCATTAGCCAATCCTTCATACAAAGCGCCGGCCTTGGCGCACAAGTTCGGAGGAAGGCACATCCTACGGCGGTCAAGTTAGTGGACAGTCGGGTGCAACAACTTCTTGATCGCTAAATTGAGGCCGTATCGGTTTATTTCGAACCTCATGCATGCGAACCGGTGACGTTTGACATCTTGGACACAGACTTCAACATCAATTTGGGGATGCCTTGGCTTACAAATGCGGATCACATGGTCAACTTCCGCCATCGGACACTTACCTTTCGCGACGCATTTGGCGCCGAGGTGCCATGTACTATTCCTCTTCCTCACCCTTCAATCCAGTGCCAAGTTGTAACGGCCAAGTCTTTTCGGGCCACTTGTGCTTACGAGCAGACCGACGAGATCGGCCTATGTTTTCTTCGAACCGTCGGACTTGTCTTCGAACCCCAGTGTGGATCGGTTGCTTGACGACTTCGCCGACATCTTCGGGTCTCCTACCGGTGTGGTGTCGGATTGGTCGGTCTCGCATGAGATCATTCTTGAGGCCGGTGTCGTGTCGTTGAAAGGTTGCATCTATCGCATGAGCGAGGAGGAGCTCGCGGTTCTCCGCACGCAACTCGATGACTTGTTGGAGAAGGGTTGAATCTGCCCTAGTAGTTCACCATATGGTGCGCCAATTCTCTTCGTATGAAAGAAGAATGCGAGGCCTTTTCCTTGTATCGACGATCTTCTTGAGCGTTTGGGCGGCGCAAAGTATTTTTCTAATTTGGACTTTAAGTCGGGCTATCATCAGATTACGGCCGCAAGATTGCTACAAATTCGCGTTCAAGATGCGATACGGGCATTTTGAGTGGGTGGTCATGCCTTTTGGCCTCACCAATGCCCCAACGACTTGTCAAGCAGCGATGACCAACGAGTTTCGTGCAACCTCGTGAAAGATGCGATACGGGCCTTTTGGCCTCCCCATCTCGAGAATCTTCGACACGTGTTTCCTCGAGCATCTTCGCAATGCGAGGATCGACCTTTTGACTTCGACGATGCTCGAGATTGATGCGCAGTCTACTCGACTTTCGAGATTGATGCGCAGTCTACTCGACTTTCGAGATTGATGACGACTTGCGGGACAACTTCATCCGCGGCTACCAAGCCGACCCCGAGTTTCGCAATGAGTAAGCGAATTGTTCCTCTCCAAATCCAGTGACATCGCACTATCGGATCCAAGAGGGATATTTGCTCATCTACTCACGGGGGAAGGATCTTCTTTGCGTGCCAAGTGATCCACACCTGCGTATGCGGCTTCTTGGTGAGTTCCACAACACTCCTGCCACCGAACATTTTAGAGTCAATTGTACGATTGGCCGACTTCGCGAGCGTTTTTGGCGGCCCAGCCTTCTCGGCGACGTCACACGCTATTGTGAGTCATGCGAGGTTTGCCGACGTTGCAAGTTGAGCAATCATCGTCCATACGAGGAGTTGCGACCATCACCGGTCCCCTTGCGACGAAAGGAAGTGATTGCCATGAACATCACCGGGTCGTTCCCCAAGCACAAGACCAGTGTGGACGTGATTCTCATGGTGGTCGATCACTCACCACGTTTGCCATGTTTTTGCCTTGCCGCTACCACGCCAAGGCACCGGAGTTGGCCGGGGTTGGATTCGAACAAGGGTTACCCCAAGGAGATCGTTTGCGACCGCGACACTCGGTTCATGTTTGATTTTTGGTTGGCGCTCATCAAACAATGGGGCTCATCTCTCAAGCCGAGTTCGACTCGCCACCTCCAAACCGATGGCCAAACGGAGAGGGTGCATCAGACCGCACAGGTTCATCTTCGCACTCTCATCCGTCCTGACCAAAGGATTGGTTTAAGCGGCTGCCGGATGTCGAGTTGGCATACAACTCTTCCATTCATCCGACTATCGAGATGCCGGCCTTTGAGTTCAAGCATGGCTCGCCGGTCACTTCTCCGTTGGACACGATTATCCCACGGGCGGCTGAGAGCGATGACCACCTTCTCTTCATTTGTCGGACGCAAGAGCTACTTGTCAAGGCACACGACCAGATATCGAAGACGCAGCAACGTATGAGCCAACAGGCCAATCGCCAGCGTCTTTCTTGTCCATTCCGCGTCGACGACCTCATATGGGTCTCTGCTGCGGAATTCAACCGCGAACAAGACATCTCTCGCAAGCTCCTTCCGAAATGGATGGGGCCCTGGCCCATTGTGGCACCCACTAGGGATGCACCCGAAGGTCCTTCATTTGTCATTCAGGTGCCTGCCCACTTGCCCGTCTACCCGGTCTTTCATTGTTCTAAGTTAGCTCTGTTCGTTTCAGCGGAACACGATGACTTTGTCAGGCGACGGTCGCAAGACCCACCCCCTAGGGGCAGTTTTCACGAGGTTGGTGACATTATCACCCAGCGACGCTATGGCAATAGGCCGATAGAGTACTCGGTACATTTTTCCTATTGCAGCCATAAGGCTGACCATTGGTTGACCGGTGTGGAACTTCAGGCGACAGCCCCCGACGTCCTCGCACGTTACGAACACAAGCTACAAGGCAAGCGGGTACCTTCGGCTTCACAACGTACTCACGTCCAGGTTCCACCATCAGATTGTCAGCTTCGCCCTCGACCCGCCTTGACTTCACATGGAGGGGGGGGTGTTACATGTCGAGCCTGCACACGATCCCCATTTCAGGGACCCGATGTGCGACACGCTGCTGGACCAGCACTACAGCGCTACGCTGGAGTAGAGGTAGAGGGGTGGGTAGGCAGAGGGGGACGGAGGCCATACCTGCACCCGCAACCTGCATATGACGGCAACGACAACGGTCAGTCCATGGCGGTGATTACCTGCAGGTGAGACTGAGAGGAGGACGACGTCTTCTTCTTCGTCGTCGCCATCTCTCCTCCCTCCTACCTTCTTCTTCTTTCAGAGAGAGAGAGAGAGAGAGAGAGAGAGAGAGAGAGAGAGAGAGAGAGAGAGAGAGAGAGAGAGAGAGGTTACTGGCAGAGGTTACATTGGGTATTGTGCCCAGGATCTGATCCGACATTTTTGTGGCAGACATTGATTGGACATTCGGCAGGGAGTACTTTCGGACTTCGCTATCGTGATCTTGGTCTTCTCCCTCGCCTTCATCTTCGTCTCGCCTCTTCCCCCATCTCTCATCCGTGGTATCTCCCCCATGTGCGTGTGCAAGGAGGGACCTTTCATCATCTGTGTACTCGGTCCCTCCTCCCTCTCTCACATGTGTGGTGTATGACGGGATGTCGCATCAGTATCCGACACGTCAAGTCATCTTTGAGTCTTCCGCTGCGCTGCATTGTGCTATTTTGTATGTATCTGGATGTACATTGCTTGTTGATGCTTTGCTGACATTGCATTGTCCATTCTAAGTCCTTTTCATCACTTTGGAGATCCTTGGCTCCATATACATTGCCCAACTGGCATGTATCAGCACCACTGGCAGGCTGATATTGGCAACTTAACAACGATCAGTGAGGCATTGGTGCAGGTTAAACCAATATTTCCAGTCGCATTGATGGTCCTGTTCCCAAGGAAAGGGGCGTACTGAAAGGAATGCCAAAGCCCATCCTTTTGCATAGAGATCGGATGAGGATGAGCTGAAAGGCCAAATTGACAAGCAACACACAAGATAAAGGCAATCTAAATGTGCTGGAAAACCCTCATAATGTTTGGTCAAGGTGCATTGAACCTCTCTGCTCGTCACCATGAGCGCATACACATTCACACACAATAACAGATCACACGAAGTCCACACTGGAGACCAGAGATGCGAAGTCTAGAATAAGTGTAGCTTAGACATCCCAACAAATTATCACATTAAGCAGTTCAGAGTTCCGGTCACCAAGCGCTCATCAGCACAGAGTTCAGTAACCCGATTCCAGCATCCTCAACCGAGGTAAGTGACTCTCTTCTCTCTCTCTCTCTCTCTCTCTCTCTCTCTCTCTCTCTCTCTCTCTCTCTCTCTCTCTCTCTCTCTCTCTCTCTTCATGCATGCGATCACTCTCTCCTCCTCTTACTGTCTCCTTACTTGAGAATCTCGACTCTGAATACATCCGCTGCTACCCAGCTCTATCGCTACTACTAGCTTGTGTGGCTATCGCTGCCTTCCCTTTCAGTGCAGCGCTGCCCAGCAGGGCTCTCGCGCGCATGCTACCCGTAGATAGCGCACAAGTGTTTCAGCAGCACTTCCTCACTTCTCACGAATGAGCAATCTGTCCAAAATGTGGCTGGCCAGTCCTTATATTGACTTGGACTGAGCTTTAACTCGTCCCAGCCTCTGCTTCTTGTGGCTTGACTTGGTACTGGTACCACATGCCCACGGCTTGCTTGCTTCAGAATGTCAAGGTCTGGTACTTTCCCGGATTTTCATTGGTGTGCTGCTGCTTGGGTCTGTGAGTCACGACTTTTCACCTGTGGAACTTGACATTTGACTGTGAGATGTGACTCTTGCCTCTGGGACACGACTTTTGCCTGGAGAAGTGACCTTTGCCTGTGGGATATGACTTTTCAATATGATGTGACTTTTGCTTATAGAACGCAACCTTTGCGTCTGAGATGTGACTGTTCACCGGGTGCCTGTTGGACTCGACTCCTCAGGTACCCAACTGTGACCTTTCTGAACTGGCCGACTAGGCCTGAGACTTCGACCCTTAAATTCGAATTTGGGGTCTGCATTGTGGAATGCCTTTCAAAGGTCAATAAACATGGCTACCAAGCAAGCCAAGTGCATGGGCCAACATTATTTACCTTTCAGTGTCTTCTCAAGTCTGAAACCATCAACACTCCAGATTTTCACAGTTCGATCTGCAGAAGTTGTGGCCAGGAACCTGAAGGTGAAAATCAACCAAATAAGATCAGAAGGGATCTGATATTGTCAGGAACAAAAAAAAAAGGAAAAAAAAAGTTCCATATTGCGACTTCACTCGTGTAGCAAAGCATTTAGCATGTCATAGAGGAATTCCCACGGAATAATTCAGCAGTTTGCAGAAAAGACAATGTCAATGGCCACTGGTTGGGTGAAAAACAGATTCCTTTGCTGAAAAGGAGGCCCCAGCCAACTTGCTAATCACGACTGAGCCTCTCCGAAAAAATTGAAGGCTCAGGGCAACCAGATCAAAAGAGCTGGTGGCACCAGACAAAACTAAAACAAAAACGCCGCGCTGGCATTTTGGCAAAGCTTGGCGGGCAGTGGGCGTCCGTCTCTTATGAAAAAGGAACGGGCATGCTGGTCCTTTCAACAAAGATGCAATGCAAATTGGGCACAACCGTAATGTTGACCGCACAGGTACCTTAAAGATGTCCCCTTTCCTCACGCCCTCCACTTTCTAATTCCTCTTGGCGGGCAGTGGGCATCCGCTTCTTACAAAAGAGGCACGGGTGTACTGGTCCTTTAAACCAAGATGCAAAGCAACTTGGGTAGAACTGTAATGTTGACCGCACAGGTACCTTAAAGCACCAGTACATGCCAGCTATCGGCTGCGGGCCCCTTCTGGAGGCCGCCGGCCACCAGTTTATTTTATCTACAGCGCTTGGCCTTCTAAATTTTTGGAGAGGCTCAAAACAGGTTTTCCAGTTGCCTGGGGCCATGTACTGGTGATTTAAAGATGTCCCTTTCCTCATCCTCTCCCCTATTCTAATTCCTCTCCCTCAACTTCACACCTCATCTTCAACCTTTCCTTTCCTCATGATGCCCTTCTTTTTCTTGTCCTTCTTCTACTCTTGTTCTTCTCCCACAACTTGACCTCTTTCACTGTTTTGGAAACTCCCCTTGATGATTTCTCCTACTATTCTTTGCTTTGTTTTGTCTCACGCGTCTTGTTCTTCTTTGATTTTGTTCAGCTCAATTGTGTTCGCCACGTCCCTCTCCTCCATTCTCCAGTCTCGCCTTTCTCATCCACCTCTTTTGCCCTCCTTCACTGCAATTTACAGCTTCCTATTGTACTCCTGCTCCTCATTCTCCTCCTGCTTGCTGCCACTGCTGCTCATTCCTCCCCATGATTGACTACCTCCTCATCCACCTCATCCTTACCCTCCTTGATTGACTATTAGCTTTCACTTCTGTTTTCATGCTTTGTCTAACACTGATCTGTGCTTTTTCCACCCAACTCCTCATCACGCAGAGTTATTATCATGCTCTTTTTTCTTTGAAACTATTGCACCCGCTCCCCTCCTCCTCTACCTCCTTTCTACTCTGTCTTCCTTTTGTCATCAACCGCTCCCCCATGGACATTTGTACATCTACCTCTTCCTCCCTGTACTTGCTGCTTCTTTGTCGTCTTCTTCATGATTGGACATGAAATACGAACTCTCCTCCACCTCAATCCCCCTCCTCATTCCCACCTCCACCTCTTCCTCCTCCTCCTTTCTCTCATTCTTATCCTTTGAGTCTTCCTCGCCTGTTCCTCCTTTTCTTCTTCTTCACCATCAACCATGGAATGATGGCAGCTACAGGAGGACAAGGACATGTGCCAACCTCCTTTGAGGACGTTCTCTTTGTTAACACCAGTGCACTGCAGCTCTGCCAACAATCATATCAGTGCATATGGTGGCTGTCGGTTGCTTCTGCCAATCCTGGCATAGGTGGTGGCAGCGTCCAAAAGGGCCAACCACATAATGGTTTGCACACCCAGCGTCAGGTGGAAAATGAGGTTTAGCAATTTCGCCTCTGGACCAGTCAAGATACCTGTTGTAGTAGTACCTGCCCTCACTACTATTCATCATAGTGTTGTACAGGGAGAACGACAGTATAGAAGCAAGCGAGCAGCTAAGAGGGAGCCAGCAGGAGGTACGAGAACATGGAAACATGGAAGATAGGAAGTCAAGGGAACAACGGAAGAAGATAAAAACATGGGAAGTCGAGGGAGCAATGGCAGAACATAGACACATGGAAGTCCAGAACAATCTCAATGGTGATCCCGTTCTCCAAGCAAAAGGCAAGCACTCAGCCAGCGACAGGAATAGATTGAACTGGCAAGGACTTTCCAAGTAAAAGGGCCAGGTGAAAGAGTGGAGAAACAATGGACACATAGAGGAGCGGAAAAGGAGAAAGTCAAGGAAAGACGAGAGGAGAGGCAAGAATGCTGTGATATGAAGAGCGGCAGAAGGTGGAAGAAGAGATTCAAGTTGATTGTTTCCTGTTTTCTTGAGAAACAATACCCTGTGATTATGATCTTGTCCTTACGAGTCAATGGAGAGGAGGTTCGAACGAAATGGTACGCACATGCCCATCTGAAAACATTACCCAACCATTGTGATAGACATTTTCTGAGTCTGATACAGCATGTGGGTTCCACAAAAAGCTTGGTCCCACTGACAATGCACATGGTCACCTTTCCCAAAAAGCTGTGCAGACGAGAAGGATTAGGAGGGCACAAAAAAGGACAGACCACATCGCATGCCATTCTCCAATAATGGTGGTGCTGGGAGGGAATTTTATGCAACCTTCAGGGGAGACTTTTGTTAAGGTCCAGGGAACTGACCTGTCAGCAGAACCCTCGGGACTGAGCAGGCACTTCAGGATATAAGTCTTGTGGGCATGTAACTTGTGATGCGGCTCAAAGCACGTCGTCTGGAAGACAAGTTATGGCCTATCATTAATTTATCATCATAGACAGTACATTTAATGCATGCCGCAGAAAAATACAGCAATGAAAGACAAGAAAAAGAATGAGCCCCAAAATGCAAAGACCACTTCCAGTCTTCCCAATCTGTATAAATCAGGGGGGCCACGTAACTTGTGATGTGGCTCAAAGCTCATCGTCTGGAAGCCTAGTTATGGCCTATTGTTACTTTCAAATAATCAGTACATTTAACAAAAGCCCTAGAAACATACCCGGTCCCAATTCCAGTCCCAGTTCTGATTACCATCCCACCGTCCCAGTCCCCAAGAAAGACAGGTGCAAGGTAAATGAGGTATAGCGAAATGACAGAAATCCAGAGTGCAAAATCACACTGAAAGCCAGCAAATCCAAACGCTGTCCAGAAAGCAGTAATGCACTAGGCTCGGCCGGCCGGTTGGGCCCGGGGGGGTCCGCCCGGCTGAACCGGGCGACGCAAAAACATGGCAAGGAATTTTTT